GAAAACTTATGAAAAAAGAGGACATGTGAGATGGTTAAATTTTTTTAAAGTCCTCATCCAAGAATATGTTTACTGATTTTTGTAAGGGAGGAAGGGGGAGGGAGGCAGGGAGAAAGAGAGGAGTGAGAGTGAGAGACATCAATGTGAGAAATACCAATTGTTTCCTCCTGCATGTGCCCTGATTCACGTACCCTGGATTGAACACCCAACCTAGGTATGTGCTCTGAGAAATCAAACCCACAACCTTTTGGTGTATGGGAGAATGCTATAACCAACTGAGCCAAACACTCGTGCAAGATGGTTAATTTTATGTCAACTTGGCTAGGCAATGGTACTTATTTTGGTCAAATATCAGCCAATTCTGGCATTTCGGAAAAAGTCAAATCTAAACAAATTAGAAGAAATCAATCTGCTTTTAAATCAGTACTCTAAATCAGAATACTCCCCATAATGTGGGTGAGCTTCATCCATCAGCTGAAGGCCTTACTATTGATAGTACAGATGAAGAAAGGAAGAAAATGAAGAAAGGATGCCTTCTGACCCAGACTTCAACATCACCTCTACTCAGGAATTCCTGCAGATTTCAGATTTGCTAGTCTACAACTGTATAAGCCAATTTCTTAAAGTCAGTCTTTATATATGTATATACACATCGTATTGATTCTGTTCTTCTAAGAACTCTAATATAATATGATTGTATGCTGTAACTTCTGAGCATTTCTATGTATAATCTTACATTAAATTTCTATGTATAATCTCTGGGTCAAAATAAATAATTGCTTTAAAATATTTATTTAAGTAATAGAGTCCTGGCAGGGTAGCTCAGTTGGTTAGTGTTGTCCCAATATGCCAAGCTTAGGGGTTCTATCCCTGGTCAGGGCACATAAAAGAAGCAACCAATGAATGCATAAATAAGTGGAATTAATATCCCTCTCCCTCCCCCTCCCCTCCTCTTCCTAAAATCAATCAATAAAAAAAGCCATGATAGCTAAGATCACGAAATTAATGCTTTAAAATTATTTCCAATGCAAAAAAGCCAAAAAACAAAAACAAAAAAAACAAACCAAACAACTCCCTCCAAAAACCCAAATCTCCCTCTTCAATAGGTAATTGATAAATGATAGCTAAAATAATGCCCTGCAGGGTCCAATGGTTACCCAGTATCTGCCTCCTCTTCCTCTCCAGTGTTATACTTCAATTGTAACTACATGCTCAAACCAAGAAGCTGGGCTTGAAACAAAAAAAGTATATAGCTGACAAAGTCAGAGATAGCAAGAAAATGCTTTCCAAGTACAAGTAATGTAAGAACTGACAAGTGAAGTGAAGGAAAGATTTCAAAGCTTGAAAAACAGTCATCAATACTGACAGATTACTGTAATTCTAGCTGCTAGCAAGATCGATTTGGGCAGCATTTGACAATCAATATTGTCCTCATTTAGTGAACAACATTAGATTCATAGTTACAGAAGATGCTCCAAGGATAAAATTTAAACTGTATTTAATGATCATAAATAGCACAATTTATGCTGTGGAATCTTAGTGGGTACTTTTATTGGGCATAAAATAAGTGACACAGCAGTGTAAAAATTATCAAATATAATTGAGTTTATTACATATTATTTTACCTCTTCACTTCTCTTATGAGGATTAAAGTAGTAATTCTGGCAATTTTTAAAGCCATTTCTATATCAATTTCTAAGGTTTATTGATTTGTTTTAGATCACATAATTTTTTTCCTTATCCAGATTTGTCAAAAAAAATACATTTTAAAATTTGGTATTATATTCCAAATTGATATATTTATTATTTTAAATTAAAAGACATACTCATATTTCAATTTCTTGAAAACATCACTGTAATTATGTAAAATTTCACTTAAAAATCAAGTAATTCACCTGTATGAAGTCTTTCCCCCAATGTTTAGAATTAATATAGAACTTTGTGAATCTTTGTCAAACATAACTATATATTCTTCAGATTAGCAAAGGCTAAAAGTATCTCTATTATATACTTCAATAGCATAGGAAAATAATTTCCATAAAGCTTCTAAATTCAAGCTTCCAAGTCAAGAAAATTTTTATCTTATTTAATGTTTTTACTCTGAGTGTTCAAGAATTGATTTTGCTGATAGAAATTGCTCATATTTGCTGTGTAAATAAAGTGTTCATGTTTACTATTTTCATTTGAAATTATCTCTCTTCATCTTAGATTTTTCTCCAATGTGATATCCATTAACGTCTCAGCAAGATTTAACAATTACAAACTTCACGAAGCAGACTTGAAAATCCAATCCAACCCAATCAATTAACCTACCAACCAAGCAAACACAAAAACCCAATTAGGCAATTCCATGGTGTTGGGAAGAGTTGTTTTATATTGACTGTCATTTTTACACATAACAGAATTAATCACTGCACAAAACTATGTACCGGTACCTTATTTTATTTACTAAGTACATCCAAATTCATTATCTCATTTAATCTTCACAATAATTCTGCTATGGGTATTAGCATGTTTTTTACAGATGAAAAAAGTGAGATTTAGAGATTCTGTGACTTGGCCAAGGTCATAAAGCAGAGCTTGAATTAAAAGTCCTGTTTTCTAACTGCAAATCTAGTTACCATACCTCTAGTGTAATATGCAAATCTGAAGTAGCTCTCAAGAGTATGAAATTAGGTGCAAGAAAAAGAAATTAAGCCATATCCCCAACACTTTTAATTTTGCATTAAAAACTACTTTGTAAAGTGTGCATATTAAATGTTATTTGTACCTTGGGCCAGAAATAGTTTGTGTTTGCCCAATAAACCCATTTCCTGCTGTATAATATAAGAAGCAAACAGAGTTTGTATTATAATCTAATTTTTCTCTTACTACTTCCCCAAAAGATTTAAGGCATTCTTTCAACTATCTTTTTTAAAAATAAGTCTTTATTGAGTTTAGAGAGAGGAAGGGAGAGGGAGAGAAACATTGATGTAGAAAAGAAACATCGATTGGCTGTCTCCTGCAAGCTCCTATTGGTGACTGAGCCCACAACCCAGGCAGGTGCACTGAAAGGGGATTGACTTCTCAGTAAATGGGACGATGCTCAACCAACTGAGCCACATTGATCAGGGCTCAACTGTGTTTTAAATAACAGTAGAGGACACTAACCTCAGGATGAACATCAGAATCAGGCAGACTATAAAGAAGCAAAGGTCAGAAAGAAGACAACCTCAATGGACCTGACAATGTGGAGAAAATTAGTTATTGGGTAATAATCTGTATATTTCTTGTAAGATTAATTACTTTTGTAGAACTATGCCGGGAATAATAAACCAAATCCTTATATTTCACTACAATGACCACTTCAAATCTGAGTTTTCAACTTAAAGTGAAGCTCTAACTGCTATAAATAAGAAATGCTATATAAATGTCATTAAGATTTATCAATGTAACATGCCATGATCCACCTATAATTCCATTTCATGGTGTCAGAATACATGAGAAATTACATAAAAATCCAATCATGTAAGCCAATTTTCATCAAAAGAAGAAAATGCATGCGGCAGACTTATAATAAATCCATTTCATAAGAATATATATTTTTTAATTCTCACATGATATTTTTCTAGTGATTTTTAGAGAGTGGAAGAGAGAGGGAAAGACAGAGAGAAATATTGATGTGAGGGAAACACTGATGTGAGAGAAACACATCATTAGTGGCCTCCTGCACAAGCCCCAACCAGGGTCCCAAACAGAGCCCAGACCGGGTAGGAGCGTGCAAACGAAGTACGTGCCCTTGACCAGAATTGAACCCTGGACCCTTTGGTCCACAGGCCAATGCTCTATCCCCTGAGCCAAACTGGCTAGGGCTAGAATATTAAAAAAAAGAAAAACACACCGAAAAACTTCCCTGTAAAGCTTAAATCCATAATCCCATATAATAAAAGGGTATTATGCAAATTGTCCCCTTGACTGGGAGTTTGACTAGTGCTGTGGGGGCGGGAGGCGGGGAGGAGGAAGCGGGGGCGGTTGGCCCACCAACCGCATGTACCCTCTTCCCCCAGCTGGCTTAGCCTGATCAGCCCCCAATCAGGGTGGGCCGGCCAGACCCCACCCATGCACGAATTTGTGCACCGGGCCTCTAGTTTATTATATAAAAAGAAATAAAATGCTCTTAAATCATATAGGAAAAGTAAAAGAAAACATAAACCTATTTTACAAAGGAATATCAAAAAACAATTTAAAATTTAAAACTGTATGTAAATCATGTCCCAGGCACTGTTCTAAGAGCTTTACACACATTGCTTCACTGAGTTCTCATAATACCATGAGCTACATATTATTGTTCTCATTTTATATTTGTGAAAAATTAAGGCTGAGAGAGATTAAATAACTTGTTCAAGACTAGCTATATAGCATTTGAGGTCAGGCAATCTGGCTCCAATAATCATATTCTTAAACATTCAATTTCCTTGCAAACTTCCATGTCTCTCTGTTGTTCCCTCTGCTTCTGGAATTCTCTTAATCTCACGCACCCAAAAAACTCAATCATCCTTCAAGATTGATTCAATCCTCACATTCCTCAGAAATGTTTCCTGATACCACAACCCCTCTCAGCTATATAAGAAGCTACTTGTTATGACACTTCCAGAATATGCTGTATAACTACTATAGCACATGTAAGCACATATACTGAAAATAGTATATTTCTTTAACTAGATTGAGTACTCTCTGATGACTGTTTTGGTTATTTCTGCACATGTAGAGTAGTAGAGTACCTAGCACATAATGGGGCTCTAATTAATTAACCAAAAGGTAATTAAGCACCGATTTAAAAGTTTATAAAAGAAATTGTATCATTCAACTATCATAAGTGCTCAAATTCAAATATTAGGGAGGAACTCCATCCATCACCTATATATTAATAAAAAGAAATTCAAAGGTCTTAACAACAGCAAAACATTTACCTTGTAAAGTAGACAAATATTAGAATAGAAATCATATATTAAAAAGGATACAAGTTTTGATACAGTGGAATCAGTGATTTCAGAGCACGGCTTGCATTGATAGCTGTGGCTCGAACCATAATGGGTAGGACCTTTCCATTCACAATAGCACCATCAAAAAGTGGGCCAAAGAAGGGAACCTAATTGAAAAATTAGAGCATAATATTATACTAAAATTGAATGTTTATATAAGAACAATCAATATATTGCAAAAATGTTTCTGCTTTCCCTTTAGTTCTTTCTTCAGTAGAAATACTATTCAAATTCAATTATTTTCAATGATGAGTCATTCACACTAGAACAATAATCAAAAAATGCAAAAAGTCTACAGGGTTTCATTCAAAAGAACTGTGTACTTCATGCAACAGACTAAAAAACTTATATTCCCTGCCAACTTTCAAATTTTTGTAGCCTCAATTGTACCAAAAAATTTAACACTGGAAATAAATTCCTCTTCCTTCATTGAGTAAACACAGGCAAGATATACATTCTTGTAGGTAGCAAGTTAGTTTTTAAAAAAATATTTTTTGTGATACCCAGCTTTATTACAAAACCTGAAACATTTCATTTACATCATTTATTAGAAAAATCTATGTTTTGATAATTTTCATTTTTATCACATGACTGACAATTTCAAGTTATTCTATTTGACTATGGTTGGTACAAATGGCAGCTGGCAAGCATATGAGCTGTGAATAATATAGTAAATATTTTAAGCTTATGGCCACATATTGTCTCTGCTGCATATTATTTTTCAATTAAAAAATTCCATTAAAATGTAAAAAAAAACATTTTTAGCTTGTGGGTTATACAAAAATAGAAAGTGGGCCATAGTTGGCTGACCTCTAGTTTAGATGAACCCTAAAATAAAATTTGGCCATAAGCTTAAATTCACATATAGGGAACTTAATTAAAGGAATTCTTAGGATTCATGATCAACTGTCAAAAAGTTTTCTATAAACAAAAGTATTCAATTAAAAAAAGTAAGAAACATGAAAATACTACCAAACATTTATTATTTTGAAGGCAAATACTTCCACAGGTATGTTTCAATCCCACAGTATAACACATCCAACTATTATAGAACTACTTATTTGGCTTTATAAAACACTTTTTAAAACTCAAACTTATTAAGTGACTTAATAAGTTTGAGTTCTAAATACATAATCTTAATAAGATGTATCAACTGAAAATACAGGAATCATATGTACTTGTTATAAAGGAAATGATTACTTCTTACTGTGTCTTTTAGGAAATAGTAATCATCCTATATAGTAAAGAGTTAATATGCTAATTAGATCGAACAGAACAACCATCCGGACAACCTTCCAGATGAACTTGCGGCTGCGAGGGCCGAGCCCCTTGCACAAATTTTGTGCATCAGGCCTCTAGTTCTTTCAATAAAAGGTAAGCCCTTTTGTGAGCTTAGCATAAAAGAACTTCCACTCTGTTCTATGAAGCTTTCTCCCTTTGAACATAGTTTCTTGCTACTTTTTCTGTTTAGCTCCTTCTGATCCAGATTAAGACAATTCACATAGCTACCAGAATTTGTCTTATTTCCCGCCATTTTCACAACTTGATGTATAGTGTAATCCTTCTGAAAGAAGACAAGAAACAAAGCCATACAGAACTTAAAACATATTATTAAAATGTAAGATAAGAAGTTCTTACCTCTGGTTTTTTCATTATCTGAATACTGAACATGTGATTTTTCATTGGATATATTACAATAAGGACATCACCAAATTCTGTAGGAATAATTCCTCTTCTGTAGTCTCGAGTATGCTCTGACCAAACAATGTGTACTTCATCATTTCCTAAATGTCTCAACTGGAAAATCAAGAAAATAGTTCAGAGTGCTTTAGAAAAGCCTTGTATTTATATAACTACTGTTAACATACTATAAAAAGATTAAAAAGTAAATTAAAAAAAACATTTAAAAAATTTCATTTGACAATTTACAATACATGAAACACAAACATTCAAAGACATCAAGTGACACTATAGAAGACCAGATAGTTTTTAACAGTCTATCGTTAATGGAAAACAAGAACTTAGATAAAAAAGATTCACATACTTCCCAAATACTCTCCTCTTTTTTTTTTAAGTAGTGAATACTTAGCACATTTATTCTAATAACAATAAACATCCATTTCAGCTATTGTGAAAATATGTATTTCTTACCAGCCATTTGCAAATATTGTTTTCATCAGGACTTTCATTAAGGGTGTTAATTAATATTTCTGTATAGCTCCTGTCATTTACAAATTATTGGGTCGGCAACTAAGTAATTGCGGGTTCCACACATATATGGCTTCAGTTGAATTTTTAGGTTTGCAGACGTAGTACAAATGTAAAACACATTTTGTTATTTGATAGTTGGCTATTCAGCTGTTAATCAGTAAAAAAAGTGTTTTGATCTGTTTTGTAGTTTTCGTTTGGCGTTCGTTGAAAAATGGAAAATCAAAAGGAACATTTTCGTCATATTTTGCTTTTTTATTTCCGCAAAGGGAAAAACGCATCGCAAGCTCATAAAAAGTTATGTGCTGTTTATGGTGACGAAGCCTTAAAAGAACGGCAGTGTCAAAATTGGTTTGCCAAATTTCGTTCTGGTGATTTTTCACTCAAAGATGAAAAACGCTCTGGTCGTCCAGTTGAAGTTGATGACGCCCTAATCAAAGCAATAATCAATTCGGACTGTCACAGTACAACACGTGAGATTGCAGAGAAGCTTCATGTATCACATACATGCATTGAAAATCACTTAAAACAACTTGGCTATGTTCAAAAACTCAATACATGGGTTCCTCACGAACTGAAAGAATCACAGTTAACGCAACACATTAGCAGCTGCGATTTGCTAAAGAAACGTAATGAAAATGATCCATTTTTAAAACGACTGATAACTGGCGATGAAAAATGGGTTGTTTACAACAATATCAAGCGGAAAAGATCGTGGAGCAGGCCAGGTGAACCAACTCAAACAACATCAAAAGGTGATATTCATCAAAAGAAGGTTTTGTTATCAGTTTGGTGGGATTACAAAGGAATTGTCTACTTTGAACTCTTACCACCCAACCGAACGATCAATTCTGATGTCTACATCGAACTACTAACGAAATTAAACAATGCAGTTGAAGAAAAGTGGCCCCAATTGACAAATCGAAAAGGTGTTGTATTCCATCATGACAATGCAAGGCCACACACATCTTTGGTCACTCGGCAAAAATTAATGGAGCTTGGTTGGGATGTTTTGCCACATCCACCATATAGTCCTGACCTTGCACCATCTGATTACTTTTTGTTTCAATCTTTACAAAACTCCTTGAATGGTAAAAATTTCAATAATGATGATGATGTCAAATCGTACCTGATTCAGTTTTTTGCTAATAAAAACCAGAAGTTTTTTGAACGTGGGATTATGATGCTGCCTGAAAGATGGCAAAAGGTCATTGATCAAAATGCGCAATACATTACAGAATAAAGTTATTTAGTTCCATGAAAAAATTGTCTTTGATTTTCTTTAAAAAATCCACAATTACTTAGCTGCCGACCCAACATTAGAAACATTTTGCCTAACTTATTTTAAAATTCAGCTAGAGACATATCTAATGATTTTGTAGAATGGCTTATATAATACCGCATATTATTTCACTAGAGGCCCAGTGTACAAATTCATGCACCAGTGGGCCCTTGGCCTGGCCTATGGGCTCTCTAACACCCGAGGGGTTCTGGATTGTGAAAGGGCACAGGCCAGGCCAAGGGACCCCACCGATGCACAATAAAGATCAGGGAGGGATGCAGGAGGTTGGCCAGCTGGGAGGGACTATGGAAGGGTTCCAGGATGTGCCCGGCCCATTTCGATCAGTCCTGATCAGCCAGACCCCAGGAGAAGATAATATTCTACAGTTTTTGGATGAAATTTTCTTTCCCCCCCCCCCCTTCCTCCCTCCCACACATCCCCTCCCTCCCCAGAGTTTTGTGTCAATTGGTTGTACTTATATGCATGCCAAATGCTCTCGTTAACTAGCAATTGCACTAATTCTCCACTACCAAACTTTTTAAAAGATTGTTTTTAAAAAGTGATTGATTTAGCCCAGCTGGCCTGGCTCAGTGGTTGAGCGTCAACCTATGAACCAGGTCACGGTTCCATTCCTATTCTGGGCACATATATGGGTTGTGGACTCATTCCCCAATAAGGGGTGGGAGAAGTGCAGGTGGCAGCTGATCAATGATTCTCTTATTGATGTTTTTATGGCTCTCCTCCCTTTCTCTCTGAAATCAATGAAAAATAAAAAATAAAAAGCGACTAAAATTCCTTTTGTTTTTCTGATCACTCTCTGGTAGTGCTAATGAGCAATGAACTTGTTTAAAGAGGTAACAGGAAGAGAAGTAAAAGAAATAGAACATTCATAAGTTGAGTAATCACCTATTAAGTATGAGAAAGTTGATTATATTTGGTTTAACAAATTTATTTCCAGGTTTTCTTTGTCAATGAAACTAGGCCTATGAAATCCATCCAAATAGACTTCTTTAGAGTTGCTAGACTCTCAATATGTAATTTAAATATTTGTAGTGCTTACCAAGATGTTTTTGGCAACCAGAGAGAGATTATATTGTGACTAAAATTATAAAAAGCACAGTACCCCAAAATTGAATTTCTGTAAGTTATTAAAAAAATGAACCTAATACCCATTAGTCTTGCATGTTCTTCATAGAGATTACTGTATGAACATGCATTTTAATACAAATTTTGGTTATCTTAGCATGTTGTTTTTTTAAAATATATTTTATTGATTATTATTATTTTTTTTTAGAGAGAGGCAGGGAGAGAGATATTAGGTCTAGTAATAATTAATGTCGTTTTCTAATACTTTTTTAAATAGAATTTATTTAAACAATACATCAAAATTTAATCAACAATATAGTTGCCGTTGTTTTCTACTACTTGTGCCCAATGCTCAGGAAGCATTTTAATCCCTCTGTTGTAAAATTCTTGTGATTTTGATGCAAAAAATTCGGTCAATGCATTTTTGAGGCATTCTTCATTATTAAATTTTTTTCCAAGAAGAAAGTTTTGCAAAGAACGAAACAAATGGTAATCGGAAGGGGCAATATCAGGAGAATATGCAGGTTGAGGGAGAACTTCCCATTCCAACTGGTGCAGTTTTTCAGCAGTGATTCTTGCAGTATGCGGTCGTGCGTTATCGTGGTGAAGAATTACGCCCTCCCGATTAATCAGCGCGGGTTCTTTTTCTCTTAAAGCTTGGGCTACCCTTTCCAATTGGGCACTATACACTGCACTTGTAATGGTTTGGTTAGATGGTAAAAGTTCATAATGAAGAATTCCTTTAAAATTCCACCAAACACACAACATCACTTTTTTCGCATGCAAGTCAGGTTTTGGCGTGGGCTGCGGAGCCTCATTTTTGTCCAACCATTGAGGCCGCCTTTTCAAATTAACATACAGCACCCACTCTTCATCTCCGGTAACAATTTGCTCTAAAAACGGCAAACGGTTTTGACAAGAGAGGAGCGAACTGCAAATTGTGACTCTTTGATTACGGTTGTTGTCGGTCAACTCATGAGGAACCCATTTTCCAAACTTTTGGACTTTGCCAAGTGCACGCAATTGATTGGAAATTATTTTTTGTGAACAATTTAAAGTTGTCGCAAGCTCTTGTTGGGTAATTTGAGGATTTTGCACCAAAAGAGCTTGAAGAGCTTCTTGATCAAAATTGGGCACACGGCCTTGACCACTCTTGTCATCTAACGAAAAATTTCCCTCGCGAAATTTCTCAAACCAACGCTGGCATTTTCTGGCGCTAACTGCATCTTGACCAAGAGCACTACAGATGTTTTTTGCAGCCTCACTTGCTTTTCTTCCTAATTGGAACTCGTAAAGCATGCAGTGCCGAATATGCTCTTCATCCGCCATCTTCTTAGCCCTAGTTTTGCAACAAAAACCAAACCAAACACAAACTTTTTCAAGCAAAACTTGTTAATTGCACTTCACACGTTCTGTAGATACCACGTGTTTGAAGGTTATGTCCTTTTTAAAAAAAATATATTTTATTGATTTTTTACAGAGAGGAAGGGAGAGAGTTAGAGAGCTAGAAACGTCGATGAGAGAGAAACATCGACCAGCTGCCTCTTGCACACCCCCTACCGGGGATGTGCCCACAACCAATGTACATGCCCTTGACCGGAATCGAACCTAGGACCTTTCAGTCCGCAGGCCAACGCTCTATCCACTGAACCAAACCAGTTTCTGCATGTATATTATTCTTTATTTCAGTCAGTGTACGCTTAATTTCTAACTGGTCCTTTTCCATTTTTTTGGCATTCTCAATAAGATCCTTGAAGGTCTCACTAAGTTCCTTGGAGGTTTCTAGAAGATTCTTGAGTAACCTTATAATTGTGGTTTTGAACTCTATATCCAGTATTTTGCTGTCTTCTATTTCTTTCATTTGTGACATGTTTCTTTGTCACCACATTTTGGCTGCTTCTCTGTGTTGATAGAGTGGCCTGTGTGGTAGGTGGTCTATAGGGCCCAGTGCTCAACCTCCCCAATTACCTGAGGTGGACACCCAGAACTGAAGTTCAGAGCAATCAGGAGCTTTTATCTCCCTCCCAATTAAGAAAAGCAGTGCACCCAGTTATCAGCCCATTGTATGCGTGCGTGCCTCCATAGCTCCTACCAGTCTTAATGTGCTTTCCTCTTTACTTCTAGTTGTACTGTAGAACTTCCACTCAGCCAGCTTTCCCGTGGTTCTGGATGATAGTTGTTCTGTCTTTTAGTTGTAGTTCTGATGTATTTGTGAGAGGCA